AATTTGTTCGTGTGTATAGGATAGAAGAGATAGGTCATCTAAGAAGTCCGAATCTTCTAGTTGCATCCAACCTGTCTATTATATCTCGTTCTTCCCCTCAGATGTCTGGGTCAGCATAGTCTAGTCAACCACCACTGAAAGGTTGCATAATAAGCAATAACTTTTTCTACTTAATCTATTTATTTACAGTGGTGTATAGCTTTCATTACATTGTAGAAAGATGTTTGATGGTTGAAGTATTTGATTCCTAAACACTAGGTTGTGTCGTCAGATAGTAAGACTTTCACAAAAAATATTTGGGTGAATTCCAAGTACCAAGTATGCTTTTCAGATGAATGATATTGTATTTTCAAAGTTTATTGCCTACATAGCTTCCATTTCTAAGAATTCGATTAACATTAAGATTTACATTCATTTTCAGTTATCATTCTTGTATTTATTTATTTATTTATCAATACATCTATCTATCTATCTATCTATCTATCTATCTATCTATCTATCTATCTATCTATCTATCTATCTATCTATCTATCTATCTATCTATCTATCTATCTATCTATCTATCTATCTATCTATCTATCTATCTATCTATCTATCTATCTATCTATCTATCTATCTATCTATCTATCTATCTATCTATCTATCTATCTATCTATCTATCTATCTATCTATCTATCTATCTATCTATCTATCTATCTATCTATCTATCTATCTATCTATCTATCTATCTATCTATCTATCTATCTATCTATCTATCTATCTATCTATCTATCTATCTATCTATCTATCTATCTATCTATCTATCTATCTATCTATCTATCTATCTATCTATCTATCTATCTATCTATCTATCTATCTATCTATCTATCTATCTATCTATCTATCTATCTATCTATCTATCTATCTATCTATCTATCTATCTATCTATCTATCTATCTATCTATCTATCTATCTACCTATCTATCTATCTATCTATCTATTTATCTGTCTATTGAATTCAATAAATAACATCGAGTGAAAACGAATTATTTAGCATATTATGTGTATATTAATAAAATCATTGGAAATAAGCGTAATTTGTGTATTTTCAGTTTCATTTTTAGTGTCATACAATTATATTAAACTATCATACTATAATAGAATTATTATGAAGACTAAAAAAAAGAAAAAAATCTATTACTTAGGAAAATGTCAAGGTTGCATGAATTTCGGCCGCAGTTTTTTTCTCTTTTCACAAGAAAAAAAATTATTGACAGTTGTTTTTCTTTTCATTTTTTTTCTCTATAGAAATAGATAAATATCTTAGTTAAGTTGAAGGAATAGACAAAAGAAAAAACATAGAAGAAAAACAAAAATAAAATAAAACAAAAAGAATCACTGAAAAATTAAAAAAAAAATAATGATTTTTATTTTTTGTTAAAATGAATATGGTTCTATTTTTAGTTTACTATTTACTAAAATATTGAATGAATAATGAAGTTCAGTCTGAACTCTTGATTTTACTTGCTAATTGATTCTAATATCTTGATAAAAGATTTCATTGATTTTAAACATTTTTTGTTTCATCATTGCTAGAATTATTAGCAAATTTATTAAACAATGGTGGTACAATTTCGTGGATTAGTTGGAGTTAGACATTAACACTATTGGATGAAGGCCGTCTCAGTGGTCTAGAAGTTAAGCGATCACACGCGAAACTGATACATCCTTGGTTCAAATCTATATATATATAGTGTGATTGTATATTTCAAGGGAAATTTGGTTAAGACCACTTACATTCTACCTTTCTCTGAGTGGATTTTGTTGCTCTGCATTAATAATTTTCAGGATTAAGAGATAGTATAATATATTTTTATTCATGAACGACTTTCTGTTTGAAGGAAGATATAATTAGCAGATATATAGGTTATTTAAGGAAGTATCTTACTGTCACTATAGTTTGATACAGTCAGTGACATGACTTCGGGCTCTGACATCCCTTTACAACTAACCTGACTGATATACTAGGATCTCAAAGTAAAAATATTCAAAGTGATATAAGATGTTTAGTTTGACACAATAAATAAGTCATACAATCATTCCAGGCTAGCAGCTATTGTTGAGATCATACTATTTAACCTACCAAACAATTATCTTATTTTACATTTACTACTAACACATACAGTTTTTGGAAAACCTTTTATTAGTAGTATCTAACTGTAAAAAGGTTCTCTAAATAAATATCTGTGAAATGATTATTATTATCATAACCAAATGATATATTGAAGGTGGCTTCTAAATTTTTACAGTAATTGCATTAAGGAATAAGCTTAAATTAAACATCAAATCTATTTCTTACATCAATTCAAAGATGTTTTTCTAGAGTTACACTTTTTACTGAAATTATTCATCTAGTTAAGTAACTACAAGTTAGAAACAAAAAAATTTTTTCTTTTAAATAATACCAAGTTCATGAATTACTTAAATAAATGTTTTCCATGGTGGTCTAGCTTCAATTGACTCATAATTTCAACTATTGAAAGTATTAAGATCTCCAAAATCCTCTTCTGATAATAATCACCTGCTCACTAGTAACTGACTTCAAGAGACACTTCTGGAGTTCTAGTGACAAGCTGTGACGAATGGAGCTCAATCGGGTTTGTTGTGAGTTAGTAACTCACTGATGACAATGGCAGACGTTGGCGTGGTTTCGTGGATTGGCTGAAGTTAGACGTTAACACCGTTGTATGCCGGCTGGCTCAGTGGTCTAATGGTTAAGCGCTCGCGCGCGAGACTCATAGGTCCTGGGTCCGAATCTCGTTGGGGTCGGGATCGTGGATGCGCAATGTTGGAGAGTCTGGCGATAGGAAGAAACGGCCGTCCAGGGCTTCCGGGTTTTCCATGGTGGTCTAGCTTCAATTGACTCATGATCTCAACCACTGAAATTGTTGAAAATCTCCACAAAATCCCTTCTGAAAATGAATGTTTGTTAGGAAGGAAACTGTAACATCAACTTAACAGTTGTTTCATTGTACTGTTATATATTCATATTTATAAGTCTAATGTTTTGTTTTTATCATTACTCAGAAATAGATGAAAAATATGTCGTTGGATTTGGTTTTTCTTCTTCATTCTTGTCGTAGATTTTATATATTTTTAAATCATCATCTGTCGTGGTTTATGTTAGGAAATTGATTATGAATGTATATTATTATTATAGACCTGGATTTATTTTATGTATATAGTTTAGTTAGTTGGTGGAATAGAATATTGCCTACTCATATTGTAGCACCCAAATGTCCTAGTACAGCTGACAGTGGGGAGAGTTAGCTCTTCCACTTCAAATGCTCTCACATGACTACGTGCATACAATCATTGACACGGAAGTCTTACTCACTGCTTTCTCACGGCATTACTATTGTTTACAAAATTGAGAGGACGAAAAGCGGATGTCTGGCGCTTTATCCGGGTTGGTGGATATGGAGAGTCCACATATGGAAGTTGGAATACCCTGATTTCAAACCATTAGTACACATGGGATCAACGATCCTGAGAGAACAAATGGCGAATGAGTCAATTATTACTCACCGGCTATCATGACACTGCAACTCCTGACTTTACTCCACTGCCTTGTAGATCAAACCTTTAGGTCGAAGGCTTCGGGTGTGGCTCTCTGAGAAAATCACCTGTTTCTGTCTGTGCACCTGCGTAGTATGACGGCCCATACACAAATGCAGTGAATTGTGTGGTGCATATGTATTCGGTACCCCTTTGTACCAATAATTATGTGTCCTAATAAATAAATTCGTGTTGTAAGTTAGTTATAATATCAATTATACTACTTTCAAGCCTTAAACCCTAAAAGCATTTAAATTCTAGTTTTAAGAATATGGAACTAAGTATCTTCATTTAACATGTCAAATAGGTACTGTATTTAAACCTAACTATTGTCATTTATCCAATTTCTGTTCACATAAAATCATTCTTCAATGTCAACAAAGAGCAATTTATATATTTGAACACGTTAGCATTTGTATAAGGGGCACCAAAATATATATGCATCGCATAGTAAAAATGAAATTGTGAAGAGATAGAGAAAAGGTGATTGTATTAAGAAAAAGAAAACTCAGTAGAAATTAATGTTTGAGAGTAGAACAATAATAATAATGGGGAAAGAAGTTCAGTTAAGAAAAATACAACCAAAAAGGATTCTATCGATTGAAGAAGTTACTTTCAACTTTATGAAGAAAGTGAAAGAATGTTATGGTAGGAACGCCACTCCCATTCTGAGACATGTATGATACCATCTCAAGCCACTGAGTTATACTATCTCTAGGACTGCAACTAGAGGTTCAAATAGGATGAATAAATGCCATTTTTGTATAGCCTTTTTCATAGCGCGACACCATGTCATACACTGATCACCTTTCTACATTTTCTAACCAGTTCCAGCGTCGGCAAATAATACAGAATATGGAGTTCGCTAGTATGACATTCGTTGTACATGTGTTTCAAAATGGTGACATCAACCGAATAATCATCTCTGTGCCAGAAAACAAGTTTCCAAAACTTCATATTACTAACATGGTGTCTCAGTTGAATGTCAGCAATCCTCCGGAGAAAACGAGAACTAAACGCGGATAGTCGCTTAATATCTTCAACTCAGAGAGTCCAGGTTTCACAAGCATTGAGGAAAACTGTTCTCACTGACGCGTTGTAGATCCTGTCTTTTACAGCCAGACTAACATCATAAGGAGGTCAAAGATAGCCTAAATTGGCATAAACTCGTCTGGCTTTCACTAATAGTAAATCAATTTCACTACTCAAACTATCATCAGTACTTACACGACTAAGCAGATATACGAACAGATGCTACAAAATGTTTTCAATCATGAAGTTGAAAATTTTTCATTTTAAAGAAAATTACAAATGACTACAGTATAATTATTTATGTACAGCTTGTGTATGATAAATAAGTTACTTTGATATATAATTCTTTAATATACATTATACTTATATAGATACGTGTAATACGAAATGAAAATCGAGTGGGTTTAATTAAATCACGTATGAATGGTGCACGGAATGCTACTGGTGAGATACTAGTATTTCTTGATGCCCATGTTGAAACATTGGAATATTGGTTAGAACCGTTAGTTGTCCAACTGATAAGCTTAAGAAAACAACACCAACAAGAAAAAAAAGGACAACTAAATCTACCGAGTCAACAGGATGAGAAAAGAACTTCAAAATTACCATGTAAGATTACCATTTGATTATATCATTATACTTATTTCATAAACTATGATTTCATCACATGATACATGATTACATTTAAAATTTAACCCAAACTGATTGGTATAGAATTAATATCCCATGTGTCAAGCAAATAAAGAAATTCTATTTTATAAGGAAATTTCGATATATTGACTGTGAGTGCCCAACGCTATCTTCATTCACTTGATGTGAGGGATTGTTTGAAGTATAAGATAAGATGAGAAATTGAATATTATCGAATACTCGATAGCTCTTTTGTTCCAATTTGAGATTTCAAAACTAGAACCTCACGAAGGATTTTACTAAAGATCTTCAGTTATTGGTAGTAACAAGATTCGTTTATACCAATAAGTTTGAACAAAATTGTCTACCTGGTAATCTAAATGTTCATTAATTTGAAAGTAGAGTAAATTACGAACTGGCATAGTTTGGAATACCATTGAAAACCTGAGGGGATTGAATGATTGTTGAATTCCAGTATTCGGATTCTTAGAATTGTGAACCTGTGAATTTCACTTGCATAAAATCTCGAACTAACAGGAATCGCAGTGACTATGCTACCTGAAAATTATTAGGTACGTATATTACTGTTCACATTTGTAACTTCAGTCATTTTTCGATATTTTGTGCCCCTTAAATGTCAATGACGTCTATCTTATTCTCACGTTTGTTGAGCTTCATTTATTATGCCTGCTTACCATGCATTCGGAAATGTTTTCCCATACTAGTGAAGACAAAGTGAGACAGTATGGAATTTCAGAAGAACTGGGGATTAGTAACTTGTATTAAAATGGGATAAAATAGTCGATAAAGCAAGCTGGATGGAAAAATATCTAAAAAATGCTAAGAAGACCATCTCTTTAGGATCTTCTAGTCTTAAATAGTAGTACGCTAACTACACAGACCTCTTCCAAACAGTAACACAAGCAAAACTAATCAAATCATTAGGACCGCCTGATTGTTGAAGGAAGTTCAGTGCAAAAGTTTATCTATTATAGGTAGCCTCATAATATTGTTCTAAGAAATAGAGTTAATCATCCGTCAAACTACTTTCTACTACATTTGATTCAAATGTATGTTTAAGAATGAGGAATTTGGCATTAAAGTATACTGAGACACTGAAGAAATCATTAGCCATAGGTTTTTTAATATGTAAACCTAATAGGGAAAAATATTTTAGTCAACCAGTTATACTGAGATGCAATGTAATCATAAAAGTGTACAACATTGTTTCCTGTTAAAACTTCAAACGATTTCCGACTACAAAGTTCTAGATTCCACTGCTAACCACCATCTATATCTGCTTATAATGCTTGTGACTTTATGGCAATATCGAGACAATCCTCATAAAATGCAAATATACCAAAAGATTAGATACAATTCTGACGTTTAATCTAGGTTTATAAAAATAACAAATGTATGTTAATTGTTCACTTAATAGTTATTTTAGTCTTGAATATTGATTAGATTGAACTATTTTAAATGTGGTCATTGTTTTAAATTATTTGATATCTCGTTATGCGTCGTCTAATGTTTGGTGACTGGGGATAATCAATATTGAGCAAAGATAGCTTGAATAGTTTTAATTGTAATACATCAGATGTTTTAGGTCCCAATCTCAAGAGGACTTTTGACTTCCTCGAGTTTATAGGCATTTCTTGCTGGCTATTATCAACCTGGACATGATTTCCTCCTGCTTCCCTCCAGCCTTCTAATAACATCTTATGCTAGATAAAACTAACATGTAAGGATGGCTAAACATATACTGAAGTAGCTATGAAAACGAATGAGTTCCACTGGTTGAATAAGAGCGCAAGATAGATAAATATCTTGCTCGATTGTGAAATACTTGGTTCGGGCAAGTCACTAAATTAATATCATATCATCCTTTGTATTATTATTCAAAGGCGTCTACCAACGTTTATTTAAGCCTAAATCATATGAAATTCAACCATCATCGTTTGTTTAAAAACTGTATGTTCTCATATTGGACTTACCGTAGGATTATTGATTTATTATCCAGAATGGCGTTTTCTACATTGTTTTCCAATATGATCTTTCCTTTCACTTACTTTCTAGTTTATTTAATTGAGCTCCAATTAGTTTAAAAACCCTTTGTTGTGAGAGAACCAACTCATAAATATTTAAGCCACTACTAATTATGATTATAGAAATTAAATGGAAAACGGTAATGATAATTTGGGCAAGATATGCAGTCCTATGCTAGCCGGTGACAAATAATTGGTTCATACACCATTTTTTCCCTCAGAATCATGAAGCCCATGTGTAATAATGGTTTGGAATCAAGGTTTTCCAACTCTCATAGGTGGATCCTCCATATCCACCAACCTGGTTAAAGCGCCGGACATTCGCTCTTCGCCCTCTCACTTTCGTAAAAAACAGCCGTGGCGCGAGAAGGCAGTGAGTAAGACTTCCCTGGCAGTGGCATTATACGCGTGGCTAAGTGAAATCTCCTCACCCTCGGCCATACCAGGGCATTTGGGGGCAATAAGTCGAAGGCTACGGGCGTGGCACCCTGAGAAACCACCTGTTTCGGTCCGGGCACCAGGGCAGTATCACAGCTTACATACAAATGAAGTGACTTGTGTGACCCCTATCTATTCGGTGCCCCTTTGTACCAATATTTATGTGTTCAAATAAATAAATAAATAAATGAGGGCATGATAACAAAATCTTATTGTAAGTTTTATAATTAAACTATCAAGACTGATTTGATAAACTGTGAAGTTATTCAATACTTCATTCTGTTGATTTCTATCTTAATAAATTAAAAATTCTTTAATCATTATGAGTTCTTATCATTATATTTGTAGAGTAAAAAAACTTAATTTCTTACATTCTTGGGTTCGAATCTCGCCAGGCGGGATCGTCGATGTGCATTACTGAGGAGTCCCACAATAGAACGTAACGGCTCTCCAGTGCTTCCAGGTTTTCCATGTTGGTCTAGCTTCAATTGACTCATGATCTCGACTATTGAAGTTACTATAATATCCACAAGAAACCCTTCAGATACTTATATTAATAATAGTTTAGAACTGAAATAAATTTGATCTAAGAAGAAGGAAGTTTGTGCTGATGATGTCGTTCAGAAGAAAGATGAAAGCTCCACAACTAAATCTTCCAGTTCAGAGAACAAAACTCCATCATAAATTTAATCTATATAGTTAAAATCTAATTTATTGTGATATATGTTATGTGAGATTTATTAACGATATGGTCAAGGGAACATGTTTTTTTAAGGTATTTTCGAGACATTCTAATGAATGTATACAGTAGTACAGAGTAAGATGACTGAAGACAGTTGATAGGATGTCTTGAACCTAGTTTATATGCTAGTTGGAATATATCAACAAAGAGTATATGCTATCTTAAGAGAATTGATACTCATATAGAGTTTGTAATCTATACCAACAACGAGTGGTGTTACCACTGAGGTAATCAAGTCGAAGGATATTCATTTTTACCCGGTTTTAATGTACAACCTAGTGACAAGTACCAAAAAGAATGAACTAAAAAATCCAATGATTCTTGTTGAACACATTTAGTATGTAAAATTAAACAGCTTAATGATATGTGAAGCGACCTTATATAGTGGCTATATTGCAAACGTGTTTAAAAGAACTTGGTCAGAACTAAGAAATAGATAAACTGACATTGTTTATTACTTGGTGATTGGTTAGTGCAGATAGTCTAGTGACTATCAGATAAAAATCTCCAGGGTTAATTTTTTCTAGAACTGAATACTTTGCAAACTACCCAGATATAGTTGGTGTTTTTAATTTACTAGAACGGTATAACTGTTCAATGTTCCCTCGTTTTCACCTCTAATCCAAATGATGCCAGTTTGTAATAAAAATTACTTGAAATATATGAGTATATTTACTTGTGGAGACTGTGATACATGAATGTTTATAAATTCTACAGTATCTATTCAAGAATATCTCTTTATGTTAGAAAAAACCACAAACACTATCCATCATTTACGATGGCTCGGATAATTCAAGTACTATTTATGGAGTTCTAGTGAGAAGCCGTTACCAGTGGAGTTCAACCAGGTCTGTTGTGAGATAGTAACTCACTGAAGACAATGGTGTACGGTGGCGCAACTTCGTGGATTGATTGAAGTTAGACATTAACACCGTTGGATCCATACTCAGTGGTCTAGTGGTTAAGTGCTCGCGCGCGAAGCTAGTAGACCCTGGGTTCGAGCCCTGCGTGGTGCGGGATCGTGGATGCGCACTACTAGGACGAAACGGCCGTCCAGTGCTTCCAGGTTTTCCATGGTGGTCTAACTTCAATCGACTCATGATTTAAACCTGTGAAATTTCTAAAACTCTCCACAAAACCCATTCTGATACTATTTATGTATTATATTTATCATAAGTAATTCATGACAAAGCTGACATTCACTGGAATTATCACAAGTGTTAACTGATCCGCTATCGCATTACAGATAGTGTAAAAGAACTGACAAGTTAATAAATGTCCTTGTATGAATGTTCCAGTATTTAATCACAATTTTAATGAAAATTTATATCTTAAATGCAGGAAATTTCCATAAGTTATGATATACAAGAACCTAGATTATGATTAAATGTTATAAGAATTACATTAAGTTATCTTTCATATAGTTACGAGGCAGTGATAATTAGTTTAACCAACTTTTCATCTATCTCTTGTAAATTAGATATTACTCAATGAAATCGAAAATTTTAGATAAGAAATAAAGAATATACCTGTATTTTCTTCAGTTACATTGGTATGAAAGCAGTCAACAGGAAATCTTTGTCTTGGATTTTAGTCTGTCTAGTACTCATTAACAAGGCATTATTTCAAATCATGTTAAATAGCTCAATGCTGACATCTTAGAGTGTGAATGTGTGTGTCGTAAGGCAGAATTTCACATGGGATGTCATTTCTTTCAAGATTGTAAAAACTCCTTCCTAGGATGGAAGAAAAGATACATCTTGACAAGTAAGCATTTAGATTATTACATTCTTAACTAAAGATTAATCATTGTCAGTCACAGAGTGGATTATTCAAAGCGTAGAACGTTAGTCTAAAGACAATATGGATGTACTCAGGATAGAGAATTACAACTATGATTCTTATTGGTACATTAATTTATAAAAATGCTTCAATTCAAAATGATTATCTCTTTCTTCTAGTAACGTTTAATTTTGTTTTATTATTTACATTTGATTACAGATGATGTAAGACATTTTATTGTCAGTCCACTTATCCTGTCAACACTAGACAAATCAGATTATGATAATATTGAAGATAATTTATATTTAGGAGGTTTCACATGGGATTTAATATTTCGATGGCATCATATTCATGAAAATGTAACACCATTATCAATCAAGTTTAATAAAACTGATGCATATCATTTAATTTATCCAATTAAAACACCAGCATTAGCTGGTGGTTTATTTGCTGTATGGAAAGATGATTTTTTTAATTATGGTGGATATGATGAAGAAATGAATATATGGGGTGGTGAAAACATTGAATTATCACTTAGAACATGGATGTGTCATGGACAAATTGAAATCATTCCATGTAGTCGTGTTGGTCATATATTTCATAATAAACATCCATATACATTTCCTATGGGTAAAGAATTTACTATTCTACGTAATCATAAACGTACTGTATTAGTATGGTTTCAACATGATACTAATTTAACATTAGCTAGAGAATATCTTTCTTATTATTATACAGTATCACCAATGTCTAAAATAATACCAGCTGGTGATTTAAAATTACGTAGAACTATTCCTAATTCATTAAATTGTCATACATTCACATGGTATTTACAGAATATTTATCCTTTACTTAAACAAGAAGCTAAAAATATTGAAATCAATGATGATACTTATTATTTAACTGCTTTTGATAGTTTATAACTAATATTCTTATTAATTGTAGAGTTTTTGTTGTTGAAAAGACAATACAATGAATACACCTCAATGGAGATCCATTCAACAGTGAAGAATTCAATTATTATTTCAATTCGTTTAGTTATCAATAGATGTTTTTGTTTTCAGCGCGAAATTTGTTTATCTACTCTTTTATATAACTGTATAGATAGATATTCAATATAAAGTGTATATTTTGTATGATATGGGATTCTTATTGATTTGTTTATGCGGAGGAATACTGATCAATCAATGTTAGCCTGTAGGTTGTTGTTTTTTTCTGAGGAGGCATAATTTCAATACAATAGAGTTGAGTGAGATGATGTTGTGTTTGTACATGAACATAATTTTAAGTCAAGTTATCATGTATTTTTAATGGTCATAGTTAAAAACGACAATATTTAAATAATTTAATACTTGAATTTATGAGCCGATTAAAGGTAGACCACCATGGGAAACCTGGAAGCACTGGACGGCCTTTTCATCTTAATATGAGGCTTTTCAGAAGTACGCGATCCCGCACGCAGGACTTGGACTTAGCACCCTCGGTATCGTGCGCGTATGCTTAACCTCTAAACCACTGAGCTATCATCCAATGGTGGTAATGTCTAACTTCAATCGATCCATGATCTTGCACAACTATTTATCCGTTGATTGAGGTACATACCTATCTCTACCCAACACAGATTGGACTCCATTGGTCATAGCTCCTCACTAGAACTGGTACAATTGGTTATAATAATAATTGTTCCCATTAAACCGATCGCGTTCTCTTGATAAAAGTAGGTCAATACAACAAGGAATCAGATTAGTAAGACTCACTAAACGTAATTGCGATTAACACACTATAAGGATTTCAGAGTTATTCATTCGAGATATGTCATCTACTGAATAGGTAGGTATCTCATTGTTATACTTATGATATTTTAAACAATCACATTCAGAAAAGTCTGCAGAAGCTCTTCCTTTAGGTCCTATTATAAGTACATAGAAATTCATAAATACAACTTGAGTTGATCTTAGGGGGGACAATAATATTTTTCACTGAGTGTAGCTTCATTCCGGTGTTAATTTTTTACACTAAGAATTAAACCTAATACTCATCATTCTAAGTGTCATATTGCGGTATTCTCTCAAAGGAGTTATATTTTAACACATAGTAATCAAATGTATTCTAGAATAACTACAACAGAAATAAACAAAATCTTATCGATAATAGAAAAAAATTATGAATATTTTAATTGAATAAAAGTAAGTAAAGTATACAAATCAATTGAAGTGTTTAACACTAATAACTGGAAGATTTAAACCATTATGATATGATGGAAAGAAAAGTCAATTTTCGATTGAATTACTCATTCGGAGTTTTATTCAACATTGACGTCCGTTTTGATTCAACGTGAGGATCATTCAGCGTAGTGTTTGATTTGTTTTCCCAGTATTATATTTTCTTCTATATAATATACGGTATTCTTGTATTCAATTGACATGAACTATGCTCAGTAAGTGATTTGTTATAACTGTGTATATGATTTAATCCTAATTATTAATCAAAATGGGTGTGCAATCAATATATAAACCAGTGTATTTGAGACGATATTGATTGGTCGTTGTCATAGTGTTTTTGGACTGATAAATCTTCACTTATACCAGTCTTGTGTTCTTACTTTCGCGTCGTGGGAATTGCCGAGGTCCCTCGTTCTGAGTATAAGTGATCAGTGTTTTTTTTCTCCGGCACAACAATCAGCGACGACCAGATAAAACACATTATAAATTAAATTTATACCTGTTACGCAATCCAATGGTTGTTTCAACTTAGTAACTCAGTAGATAATATGCTAATCTTTACAGTAGAAGCACTTAGTTATAGTTTCTATGTGAATACCGATACTAAGATTCAACTAAATTTAACTGATCAATCCTAAACAAGACCAAATGTGCATCCTAGATCTCATTGGAAATCACAATTGAAATTTACTAAACATTTATGCAAATTTCTATTTATACCTAACCTAATTCCTTAAAATACAACAACTATTTGAAATATAAAAAAATGTACGTGTCTATATATTTATAAAAATACAAGAGCAATATAGTTCCATTTAATGTCAGTTCAAACTTCAATAGAAGCTTGAATAAAGATAAAGATGAACAAATAGAAATCATTACTTTATACTTTATTTCATTCCACAGTTTTATGAATAATGTATAATTTGACATTAAGACTATCATACATATATATTCTACATTTAATGTAATGGGTAGAAAGGGAGGTAAGAGGTAAGATATTCTTTATTATTACTATTATTAATAGTAAAAACGAAGGTTATGAACTATGATAATCATTATTACTTCATCAATTAATAATAATAATACCGATTGTCAGTAAGTAACCTTAGAAATTCTTTTCATTGAATTTGTTTTATTTTATCTGATGAACTTCTATTTCTTTTACCTTTTTCTTCAATGATGCTAAAAATATTATTATTATTATTATTATTATTATTATTATTATTATTGGCTTTATTCAATATTATATTATTGGTACAAGATAGAATTCTCAGTAAAAAGTCCCACAATAGGACGAAACGGCCGTCCAGTGCTTCCAGGTTTTCCATGGTGATCTAGCATCAGTTAACTCATGATCTCAACTGTTTAAATTACTACAATCTCCACAAACCCATTCTAATACTAATCAACATATGCTCACTAGTGACTGGCTTCAAGATATATATCCTGGAGTTCTAGTGAAAAGCAGTGACCAGTGGAGTTCAACCGGGTCAGTTGTGAGATAGTAACTCACTGATGATAATGGTGGATGTGTCGCTCAATTTCGTGGATTAGTTGAAGTTATACATTAACACCGTCGGATGCCGGCTCAGTGGTCTAGTTGGTTAAGCGCTTGGAGCGAGACTGATAGGTCGTAGGTTTGAATCCCGCGAGGCGGGGTCGTAGATGCGCACTGCTGAGGAGTCTGGCGATAAGACGAAACGGCCGTTCAATGCTTACAGGTTTTCCATGTTTGTCTAGCTTCAACTGACTCATGATCTCAACTGTTTAAAAAAGTATTTCAACAAGTTTCTTCTTATTTCTTGATCGATTCTGACGATAATCAGTGAGTGATTTCTAGTTAGATGTTAGCAGTTTAAGAATCAATATCTGAATAATGTACATTCTTTTCAATGCATATTGTATTTTTGTTTTAATGCTTGGTTTTCCACGTTCGAACGAATATCTACACTAGTTTCCTTTCCAGTGTTTACTCTACAGGACTTCAACACAACTCAGATAAAGAACATATGATTAGCCTGACTAGAACGTAAATATATTTCCATACCAAAACTCGACACAATCCAACAACAATGAACAATCAATAATAATTAATAATAAAGATAAGGGAATATTTAACTCATCTGACACCTTTCAGACTATCTACATGTCTGACTAAGCAAACAACCAATCACTATCATCTTGTCCACACATCAATTTTGTACACTGAAATGTCATAAACTTCTCATAAACGCACCTGATATAGGTTATGCAATTTATAGACATAATTATGTGTTAGAATGAATAAAAGACAGGTAACTTGTCAAGATATTTAGATGGTAGAAAAAGGTAGCCCAGATATTCAAATAGATCGCCAATTGTTGTCATCCAATTTTAACAACTTTTGAAAACATATTTATACATCAATGAATTTATGGAGTTACTCATTTATTTACTTACTTACGCCTGTTACTCCCAGTGGAGCATAGGCTGTCGACAAGCATTCTGCAACACACTCTGCCACGGGCCTTCTTTTACACTCCTATCCAATTGTTGTTCATTCTTCTAACATTTGTCTCCGTCTCTCGGAGTAATATGTTCTTTGGCGTACCTCTTCTCCTTCGACCTTGAGGATTCCACGTGAGGGCTTGCCTTGTGACACATTTGGATGCTTTCCTCATTGTGTGTCCTATCTACATTCATCGTTTCTTTCTGATTTCTTCCTCCGCTGGGATGTGGTTTGTTTTTTTTAGACAGTAGGTTTTTGATGATAGTGTTTGGACGACGGATCCTAAGTATTTTGCGTAGACAGCTATTAATAAACACTTGTATCTTCTGGATGATGGCTTTCATAGTTCTCCAGGTTTCTCCCCATACAGTAGAACTGTCTTGACATTTGTATTGAAAATTCTGACATCGATTAATCATTATTATTATCATTATCGGCGAGATCATAATTTATGGATGAACCAATTAATTATGAGGTGACCGATCTCGGGTCTTCCTTTCAAGTTCTATCCAATTGTTGTTCATACTTCTCATGTCTGTCTCCATTTCTCGGCGTAATACGGTCTTTGCAAACAACATATCTTTATGAGCAAACAATAAAATCTAATATTTTAGAAAAGATTTACTAATTTACTTACTTATCTTGAATACTTTGTTTGAACTCAATTCTAGAACTAGAGCATAACTGTATTGAAATCCTGTGTGTAGTTAGAATTAAGCCTGATGGATTCTAAAATAAAATTTTAGAACTTATCTATTTTCATTAGCTACTCATTCTAGAAAAAAGATCTAACTGTAAACCTTCTGTTTTACATATTCAGTGTCAACTAACAAGTGCACAATAAATTATTAGTGAATCTTATGGTTTGTTTTGATATTTCTTACAATGATTTTATCATTGAGTATTGTAATTATACGTATTAATCATTTGATAACAAAACATTTATTGAAGTGAGGTTGGGTAATGGCAAGCAGTGAAATCTAAGACGTGCTTCTAATCTCATTTGAGATTCGTCAGATAGATATAATTGTACCCCGATGTTAGTGTTCGCAAAAAACTCCAACCCTGTACTTTTCACTTCAATTACCCAAAGAGTTGTCTACTTAGTAACTGATTCCAGGTAGAAATTGTCTTGACAACGGTATGAGATTGAATTTATTTGTAAGAGTTGTTGAAGTTTTCCCTTTGTTGATGTTAAGGACTGGAATTG